AAGAGTGTTCTACTAATCTTACTTTAAGTATAGATTTTTATTTCCCATATTTAAAAAACATTCTTTCCATTAGAAAAGTAGACAGGTCCCAAGCACCAGTGGCTCACGCCTGTAATCCTAGCTACTTAGGAAGCTGAGATCTGAGGATCACAGTTCAAAGCCAGCCCAGGCAGGAAAGTCCGTGAGACTCTTACCTCCAATAAACCACCAGGAAACCAGAAGTGGTGCTGTGGCTCAAGTGGTAGAGCACTAACCTTGAGCTGGAGAGCTGAGGGACAGCGCCCAGGCCCAGAGTTCAAGCCCCATGACCAAAAAAGAAAAAAAAAAAAAGAAATAAAGAAAAGTAGACAGGTTCAATTTTTTAACCTTCAGAAAATTCATGATATCACCAGTAATTACAAACAAACCACCACTATCATTTGAGGATGTTATCTAAACATCATTTTCTATGAATAGATATCACTTTGCATCATTGTAATCTAACTGTACAAATTTTGTATAAATCGTTGGTTTCTTTAGTCTGTAGCGTGAGACACCAATGTTTCTAGGGGAAAACTTAGCAGCATTTCCTGATATGATTTCCCAAAAGAGAAGAACCAATTTATACTCAAGAATCATGTACATGATGTTTTTAATTTGTTTAATTTGACAGATTAAAAATGGCACCTTATTAGTGAAATAATTGCAGCTTTCTATCATGATTGAACTTGATTAAAAGTCCACTTGAGATGGTTTTAGAGTTTTATCTGAGCAGAGTCTCTCTACTTTATTAGCCCACCTGCGAATGGTTTCCAGTCAAAACAGATTCAATGAGGTCAGGTAGCCAGAGGTGCCAATGCCCAAAGGATCTTGTCCCCACACCCCAGGAACAGCACTGAAACAGAGTGGGGCTTAAGATTGTTGGGGTATCTTTGCTACTTTTTTTTGGTCACTATTTGCATGAGTGATAAAGTGGATCTAGAAAGGTGTGTTTGAATCAAATGCTGCAGCATGAGTGGATGAATCAGTCAGGCCTTGGCCTTGACCTTAGCCTTAGCCGTGGTCTCGTGTTTAACAAACTATGGAAGAGAGTAAAGAAAACGTGGAGAGTTTTTATGTGAATGAACCATGAATCTGAGCTTGGACACGGTTTTTAAGTGAAACAGCAACACAAAGGGACAAGGCTGACTAACTTTTTGTGATTCCTTTGTGGGGATTGGAAGCTTTGCCCCCCGGAAAGGAAAATGAAGCAGGGCTTCCCTTTTCCCACAGGCTGTGCTGGCTGGTATTATCCTGAGCAACGTCTTGCCCTACCTTGAAACCATTTACCACCTACCCTCTCTGTGGAGGCAGGACCAGTATGACTGTGTGAGTGCAGAAGCCCGGGTGAGGAAGGGAAGGACAGAGTGGGAAGGCCACAGAGAGAAAGAGAACAGACAAGAGAGATCTGCCATGGATATGAAGAACACTAGCAACTCTTCAATGCCCTGTATTCTTTGTGCTTTACAAGTGTAGGTGGGGAGGTACCAAGTTTGTTGGAACAGGAATGGAACCCTCATCCCAACCATGCAAAATGTAAAGAAAGATACTGGGGGAACTAATGGCTCACACCTGTAATCCTCACTGCTCAGGGGACACTGAGACCTGAGGATTGAGTTTTGAAGCCAGTCCAGGCAGATGTCCCTAATAAACCATCAAAAAGCCAGAAGTAGAGGTGTGGTTCAAGGGGTAGAGCACCAGAATTGAGTGAAAAGAGCCAAGTGAGAGCAAGAGGCTCTGAGAGTTCAAGCCTCAAAAATTAAAAAAAAAAAAGACTAATTAAGTGGCTAAAGTTGCATACAGTTGGGAAGGAAGGAAAGAAGGAAGGAAGGAAGGAAAGAAGGGAGAGAGGGAGGGAGGGGAAGGAAAGGGAAGGGAAGAAAAAAAAGAAAGAAAGAAAGAAGAAAAGAAGGAAAGGAAGGAAGGGAAAAAGAGACAGAAAGAAAGAGAAAGAAGGGAGAAGGGAGGAAGGAAGGAAGGAAGTCATCCAGTGCATATTTGAGTGACTTTTAATTTTTTTTTCTAATCCTGGGGCTTGAACTCAGGGCCTAGGCACTGTCCCTGAGCCTCTCTGTGTTCAAGGCTAGTGCTTTGCCACTTGAGCTTCAGTGCCACTTCTGGCTTTTTCTATTTATGTGGAACTTCATGCATGCTAGGCAAGCACTGTACCACTAAGCCACATTCCCAGCCCTGACTTCTAATCTTTTAATCTAATGAAGTAAATACCTTCCAGGATAAAGGGCACCAGTCTTGATCATACCAGACAGAGTATGGGCTGGAGTGTCCTGCTGCTCTGAGATGCACACAAACAAGAGAACAGAATGGGAAAAGAACAAGAAATAAAAGATGGGGCAATAGAGTAAGATGACAGAAGGACCCCGTAGGCAAAGGAGTATGGGGGGCTTAGATGGCCCATGATCCAATGCACAGAAAGAGTTTCTGGTCCAGGAGGAAGATGGCACAGTCCTATTGGACTGAAGAGAACAAGTGAATGTTGTGTTGGGATACTGTGGCAGGGGGAAGAGGAGGTAAATATTGAAGGGAGTTTCAGCCTGCTTTTTTTTTTCTGTGACTATGCAGGTTAAGGTCACCTGCTGATAGTAAAACTACAATAGGCTTGAAAATAACCACCCTTGCTTAGTGTCTTGGGTTGCTTTACAAGTGGGATTTCTATAAAGCTCTGTATGTATGTATGTGAGTGTGTATGTATGTATCTCAAGTAGTAGAGTGCTTTGCCTTGCAAATGAGCTGTCTACTACTAACACAGCCTGTACACTACCTAGCATTATCTCTTGCATATGAAGACACCAAAGCTTCCAGAGAGAGAAAGAGGGGGGGGAGGGGAGAGGAGAGTTCCATGGAAGAACTGCCAGGCAGCCTTGATTGAAGGTCCAACTGATTGCTATGGAATGTTTTCTGTAAACCCCAGGTGTACAGAGGGAAAGGTGGAGGTGAATCAGAGCTAGGGTTGGTATTCTCCATTTTGCTGAATTCTTGATTTCCCGGTCTTGCTTTTTCCCCACAATGCCTTTTCCACAAGGTTATTTGGATGGTGACATTCTTGTCTGCAATTTTTCTGGGACTGGATGTTGGACTCTTTTTTTCCCTGATATTCACCTTCTTCATCATCACGGTTCGGTCACACAGGTACTTTGTCTGGGGTAGGTAATAGGAGGTTAGCTATGGTGAGGGAAAGCCTGGCTTCCCTAAAGTCTTACAGTCAAGTGTGTTTCTTTCCAGAACGAAGATTCTGCTCCTGGGTCAGATTCCTAACACCAACATTTACAGAAGTGTCACTGACTATAGGGAGGTAAGGAGCCAAAATCAGCACCACTGTTTGGCCAAAGGAATGGGGTTGCACCAAGCCCAGTGCCTAGTTTCACTGCTGTAGGCCATGCTGAAGTCCCATTCACAAAGGACAGATGCTGGGGGAAGGGAACTAGTTTTTTGTTTTTTTGGAGGGGGGGTGTCCGGTCGTGGGGCCTGAACTCTGGGCCTGGGCGCTGTCCCTCAGCTCTTCAGCTCAAGGCTAGCGCACTACCCCTTGAGCCATAGCACCACTTCCAGCTTTTTTTTTTCCTGCTTATGTGGTGCTGAGGAATTGAACCCAGGGCCTCAGGCATGAAAGGCAAGCACTCTACCACTGAGCCACCTTCCCAGCCCCGGGAACCAGTTCTTAAGCAGCTCAGTCCTGATAGTTCTGCAATCAGATAAGGATCCAAAAGAGGAAGGCTAAGAATAAAGAGAAGAGTGAGAAATGTGATGGAAAAGAGAAAAAGCAGAGGGTGAAAAATGAGAGGAAAATGCAGGTGCTGGTGGATCATGCCTGTAATTCTAGCTATTCAGGAGGATGAGATGGGAAGGCCATGGGTTGAACTTACCCTGGGCAGACCAATCTGACAGAAGTGAGATCAATCTGAGAGAGGTGAATGTGTGGCTCAAGTGGTAGAACACCAGCCTTGAGTGAAAAAGCTAATGGAGACTGATGGGCTCCGGAGTTCAAGCCCTGGTACCATGACTTAAATAAATAAGCAAAATGTTTCTGGCTTTTTTTTTTTTTGGTCAGTCATGGGGCCTGAACTCTGGACCTAGGTACTGTCCCTCAGCTCTTCAACTTAAGGATAGTGCTCTACCACTTGAGCCACAGCACCACTACCAGCTTTTTCTGTTTATGTGGTGCTGAGGAATCAAACCCAGGGCCTCATGTATGCAAGGTAAGCACTCTACCACTGAGCCACCTTTCCAGCCTTGTCTTTTCTTTGTAACAGGGAAGGGTATGGACTCTATAACAGGTTGAAAGCTTCCTTCATAAAAGAATTTAGATAGTTGAAGTGATCCTAGTATAGGTAGACCAAAGCAGAAGATTAGAACTTTGAGGCCAGCCTTAGTTACATAGCAAAATACTTTCTCAAGAAAAAGAAAAAGAGGGCTGGGAATGTAGCTTAGTGGTAGAGTGCTTGCCTAGCATGCATGAGGCTCTGGGTTCCATTCTTCAGTACCACATAAACAGAAAAAGCCAGCAGTGGTGCTGTTGCTCAAGTGGTAGAGTGCTAGCCTTGAGCAAAAAGAAGCTCAAGGACAGTGTCCAGGCCCTGAGTTCAAGCCCCAGGACTGGAAAAAAAAAAAAGCCTGCACATTGTCTTTCAACTTCTGTTTTTGTCTTGCAGGTTATACTCATCCCTGGGGTAAAAATCTTCCAGTTCTGTAACTCCATCACATATGTAAATGTACACCACATAAAACAAAAGCTGTTGAATGAGGTAGCCAACTGCCTTCCCTTTTTCCACATGCTCCATTGTGGGCCAAGCATCCTTCTCCTGCCCCTTGGCCCTCCTTTTTTTCTAGTACTCTCTCCTCCCTTCTGTCTTTCAGCTCGATTTGATACGGGTGCCTCTTAGAGAAGAAGACATTTTCATGCTGTTTAATGAAAGTGACACCAGTCTACAGGGTGCCGGTATTTGCAAATGCTTTTGTGACTGTGAAGAACCTCAGCCGGAGCCCAGGGTAAGAAATGCCTCTTGGTTCCTACTTTTGTCTTCATGTTTTATAAAGTTTCTTTCAACAACCACAACAACAACAAAATCACTGGGCACTGGTAGCTTATGTCTGTAATCCTAGTTACTGTGGAGTTTGAGATGTGAGGATTGCAGTTTGAAGCCAGCCTGAGCAGGAAAGTCCATGAGACTTTTATCTCCAAAGCAGGAAGTGGATCTGTGGCTCAAGTGGTAGAGTGCTAGCTAGCCTTGAGTGAAAAAGCTAAGTGACAGTGCCTAGGCTCTGAATTCAAGCCCCAGTATTGGCACGCGCGTGCACGCAAACACACACACACACACACACACACACACACACACACACACACATCAAAACCCTCAGGGGATTTTGACTTATAGATGGACCACAGAGAGAAAACTGGAACTGGAAGATTTCTACTCAGGAATAAAGATCCCTGTTTCTTTTCTTTTTTTTTTTTTTTTTTGTCAGTCGTGGAGCTTGAACTCTGGGCTTAAGCGCTGTCCCACAGCTCTTCAGCTCAAGGCTAGAGCACTTGAGCTACAGCACCACTTCCCGTTTTCTGGTGGTTTATTGGAGATAAGAGTTTCACGGACTTTCCTGCCCGCGTTGGCCTTGAACCGAGATCCTCAGATCTCAGCCTCCTGAGTAGCTAGGATTACAGGTGTGAGCCATTGGCGCCCGGCAAGATCCCTGTTTCTTTTTCAGGTTGAGGTTCTGGCATGAATCTATAGGCAAAGTCCTGACTACGGTTGGGGAGGAGAGCATGGCTGGTGATTGAGACTATCAGGCATTCCTTGGTTTCATTTCTGAGTGACTTAATGATTGTGTTCTGAGCTGGGAACCCATGGCTCTTTCCTGTAATCCTAGCTCAAGAGGCTGAGGTCTGAGGATCAAGATTTGAAACCAGCCTGGGCAGACAAATCTGAGAGACTTTTTTTTTTTTTTTGTCAGTTGTGGGGCTTGAACTCTGGGCCTGGGCTCTGTCCCTGACCTCTTCAGCTCAAGGTAAGGGCTCTACCACTTGAGACACAGGAACACTTCCAGTTTTCTAGTTGTTAATTGGAGATAAGAATCTCACAGAGTAGAGTGCTGGCTTTGAGCACAAAGAGGCTTAGGGACAGCCCCTAGACCCTGAGTTCAAGCCCTAGAACTGGCAAAATAAATAAATAAAGATTCTTAAAAAAAAAAAAAAAGAATCTCACAGACTTTCCTGCTTTGAACCACAATCCTCAGATCTCAGCCTCCTGAGTAGCTACGATTATAAGCTCCAGCCACCGGCTTGGGGCCTGAGAGACTCTCATCTCCAATTAACTACCAAATAGCTGGAAGTGGAGGTGTGCTTTAAGTGGTAGAGCACCAGCCTTGAGCAGAAAAAGCCAAATAAGAATGCAAAAGTTCAAGCTCCAGTACCAGCATACACCGCGCGCCGCGCACGCAGCATTATTAACCTTTAGAGACTCATTAGCATGCAGGCATAGAGGAAGGGAATAAATCAAAGAGTGATTTTAAATCTAGTCCATGAGGGCCATAGCAATGGCAGTGATGACACAGGAGGTTGGGAAGTGAGGATGAGGAAAGATGAAAGTAGCTTAGTTTGGGGAGACGTTGCATAAGAGAGAGGGAAGTGAGCTAGTAGGCAGATAAAGCAGAATTGCAAATACTCCCAGTCCTCCTTGGTGTCTAACCACAGCCCTCCTTTACCTCTGTTGTCCTAGATCATCTACTTAGAACGATTTGAAAGTAAAATGGAATCTGAATCATCCATTAACCTGGTCCGCTGCTCCTATTTTGAGAACATGTACATGAGCGAAAATTCTTCCGAGGACCAAGTGCCCTACACAATATCTTCTACATCTCAGAGATATCCAGAGCAAAACTATGAGGAGGTGGACAAAACCTGGCTTTATGCATCCCCCCCAAGACAAAACTCAATTCCACTGCCGGACAATAATACTGAAAGTGTGGATAGGAGTAGATCCATCATCCCTTACTCAGAATGCTCCCTTCAGCCCAGCATCCACACCATCATCCTAGACTTCTCCATGGTGCATTATGTGGATTCTCGGGCTTCGATTGTCTTAAGACAGGTAAGTACCCAGAAGGCACTGCCTTACCCTCCATCCCTCCACTCCCCACCCACACTCACTCCCCATGCCCAGGGATTCCTGCCAGTCATGGATCTGCTGTTATGAGAATTTCTAGGCTACCAGAAATCTGAACACTGAAGGTTAGCTTAACATCAATCAGCATGGGGTGTGAATGAAGCTTGGTGGTAGAGTGCTTGCCTAGCATGCATGAAGCCCTAGGATCGATTCCTCAGTGCCACATTCACAGAAAAGGCCAGAAGTAGCACTGTGGCTCATGTGGTACAGTGCTAGCCTTGAGCAAAAGAAGCTCGGGAACAGTGCCCATGCTGAGTCCAAGCCCCAGCACTGGCAAAAAAAAAAAACAAAAAAAATCATCAAATAAAGAAAATTACTCACAGCCGATTTGTGGAAGCAGGCTTGGCTCAGGAAGCAGGAAACATTGGTTATTTCTCAAAGAATGAAAAAGAGGAAATTCTTATCACCCTGGAAGCTGAAATCTGGGCCATGTCCACTGTGTAGCTCCCTGTGCACCCGCAGAGTTACATGTAATGCTATCAGGAAACACACACACACACACACACACACACACACACACACCTCACCATGATTCTTGCTAGGTTCAGCTTCCCTAAGCCAAGCACTGCTTGTCCTCTGCTCAGGTGGGAAAAGTTGGGGTGAAATGAAACCACAAGCTGGGGCCCTCTGTCTGGTACCTGTACCATCTTCCCAACTTTCCTTTCTATTGCTTTCAGGCAAAAAAAAAAAAAAAAAGAATATTTTCCTTCAAAACTGTGTCCCTGCTGGCGCTAGTAGCTCATACCTGAAATCCTCTTTACTCAGGAGGCTGAGATCTAAGGATTGCAGTTTGAAGCCAGCCTAGGCAGAAAACTCCATGAGATTCAAATCTCTAATTAACCAACAAAACACCAGAAGTGAAGGTGTGGCTCCAGTGGTACAGCACCAGCTTGAAGCAAAAAAAAAAAGTAAAACAAGAACATTAGGCCCTGGGTTCAAGCCTTAGTACCAGCACAAAAGATAAAAAATAAAAACTGTGTCCCTGAGTCCTGACTTCTATCATCTTGGGGTCTTGGACAATTCTCATTTTTCTCCTTTCTGTATGGAGCACACAGTTTAGCATAATGACCCATACTTATTTCATTTTTTCCTTTTTCTTTCTTTTCCCTTGTTTTTTTTCTTTTAAACCAGTCCAGGGGCTTGAACTCTGGGCCTGAGCACTGTCCCTGAGCCTCTTTGTGCTCTAGACTAGTGTTTTACCACTTGAGCCACAGCACCACTTCATACTTTTTCAGATTAATTTATTAGAGATAAGAATCCCACAGACTTTCCTGCCCTGAGCTGGCTTCAAGCCCGGATCCTCAGATCTCAGCCTCCTGAGTAGCTAGGATTACAGGCATGAGCCACCTGTGCCCAGCTTTTTTCATTGCTTCAGCTTCAATAAGCAGTCTTTCTCTTTTCTGCCAGCTTATCTGTGTTTGTTGCATTCTCCCTTTCATCCTGGTTAGCAATAGACCAGATTGAAGCATCCTGAATGCTCTCTTCACACCACTAAGTACATTCACCCTTTTATGAAGCTGGAAGTGGCATTGTGGCTCAAGTGGTAGTGCACTTGAGCAAAAAGAGGCTCAGGAACAGCATCCAGGCCCTGAATTCAAGTCCAGGGCCAGCAAAAAGAAAAAATCCTTTTAGTCCTTTCTTCTTGGTGACATCACCCAGTTTGTTCCTTAATTCAAGGGACTTCTGTTAGATTATTTGGACTTTGCCAGAAAACCATGCAGACATCCAGGTACAGAGAACAAAGGAAGGTTTATTGCTGGGAAAGGGGCCAGCAAGACCCCTTCTCACAAGGGAGAAGGGAGAAGCAGCACCGGCTACTGTCTGACGTGACCTATGTAACTAGGAGGTTTATGAGGGGCTAGAAGGAGATAGGAGCTGGAGACCCTGGTGTGGACATGAGGACCAGGGGCTTCATCATGGCGGACTAGGATTTATGGTTGCCCAAATAGTAGATAAGGGTCCTGCAGCTGCCCAGACCTGAAGGTCACTCTAAGGGGCTCCTCATGCCTTATATGGTGGTAGCCGCCCCAGAGAAATGCCCCGGAGAAGGTAAAGAGGGGTGGAGGCTGATTATTTACTGCTTTACTAAATGGGCCTGGTGTTGCCTAGGAAGAGAGCGTGCTAAGCCGTGGAGAGGGGAAGGAGGGTACTAAGTTATGGGAAGGGAGCTCATTTTGCTAACAACTTCCCTTTCCTACTAATTGTCATTTAAAGTCCATCTGTGGTGGTCTTCCACCAAATGACTGTTAGGGTTCACCACATGATCAAAGATGGTTTTGTTGTTGGGTGCTGGTGGCTCTCAGCTACTCAGGAGGCTGAGATCTGAGGATTGCAGTTTGAAGCCAATTTGGGCAGGAAGGTCCATGAGACTCTTACCTCCAATTAATTAGTAGATATGGAGGTGTGGCTCAAGTGATAGAATGCCAGCATTGAATAAAAAATAAATAGACTGGGAATGTGGCTTAGTTGTAGAGTGCTTGCCTAGCATGAATGGAGCCCTGGGTTCGATTTCTCAGTACCACATAAATAGAAAAAGCTGGAAGTGGTGCTGTGGCTCAAGTAGTAGAGTGCTAGCCTTGAGCAAAAGAAGCTTGGGGAAAGTGTCCAGGCCCTGAGTTCAAGCCCCATGACTGGCAAAAAAAATTTAAATAAATAAATAAATAAAGGAGAATATGAGGCCTAAGCCACAGTACCAACACACACACACACACACACACACAACTTTATTGTGTCTTCTTAGTACTAGATGAAGCAGAATCGGTTTCTGTTTCTTTTTATTTGTGTGTGGGGGGGGGGGTCAGTCATGGGGCTTGAACTCGGGACCTGGGTGCTATCCCTCAGCTTTTTACTTCAAGGCAAGCACTCTTCCTACCGCTTTAGCCACAGCACCACTTCCTGTTTTCTAGTGGTTAATTGGAGATAAGAGTTTAATGGCCAGCCCCAGTGGCTCACTCCTGTAATCCTAGCTACTCAGGAGGCTGAGATCTGAGGATAGCAGTTCAAAGCCAGCCCAGGCACAAAAGTCCATAAGACTCTTATCTCCAATTAACCACCAGAAAACTGGAAGTGGCGCTGTGGCTCAAGCCGTAGAGTGCTTGCCTTGAGCTGAAGAGCACAGGGACAGCGCCCAAGCCCAGAGTTCAAGCTCTATGACCAACAACAACAAGAAAAGAAAGAAAGAAAGAGAGAGAAAGGGAGGGACAGAGGGAGAGAGAGAGAGAGAAAGAAAGAAGAGAAAGAGTCTCATGGACTTTCCTGCCCTGGCTGGCTGGCTTTAAACTGCCGCCGGCACCTGTTTTGTTTTTGACATTTTAACTTAGCACCTAGGGTTGAAGTCTACTCAGTCTTAGATTATTATGGTTAGTATTGACTGGCTTGGGAGTGAACTTGATGATGGATGCCCCAGAGCTCTTGTATGGGCTGGAGTAAACCTGAGGTCAGTATGTGATGTTTGCTTACCTGATACTAAGGATGTGATTTTCTACTGAAATCAAATGCAAATTGGCAGAGCAGCTTAGGATGTGACCCTCAGGGTTTCTGAATTCTTTTCCACGGTCCCACACAATCACTAAGCAATAACACTAAGATAGGGCTATTTGAGACCACTCTCCAAAGGGCTTCTTCCATCACACCTAAGCCTGTCTCCATCCAGGGCCTCCTCGTACAAACATCCTCTATGTGAACTGTCCCCCACCCTTGAGACTGGGAGCAGCCCTCCCTCTCACACCCCCTCCAAGCCCACCTGAGATGGCCTTGTCTTCATTCCCAGCACATTAGACATTTCCTGATCCACAGAAGTCCATGCAAGAAAGTTCATAGAGCAGACTTGGAGGGCAGAGATACATATACTCCAGACACGTGGATGATCAAAAAGGTTTTCCCATTCAGCTAGTTAGAAGGCCTTTCCTAGTGTGTACAAAGTGTCCTCACTCCTTCCTGTCTCTCTGCAGATGTGCAATGCTTTCCGAAATGCCAACATCATGGTGCTCATTGCAGGATGCCACTGTGAGTACCCTCCACCCGAGATGAGGGCTGTGTCTTACTCCTTGGGGGCTCTGCTCCTTAGGTGCTGACAACTGTGTGCATGCTGGGTTTTCTTTGCAGCTTCTGTGGTCAGGGCATTTGAGAGGAATGATTTCTTTGACGAAGGCATCACCAAAGCCCAGTTCTTCCTCAGCCTCCATGATGCAGTGCTATCTGCTGTGACGAGGAAGTTGGCAGAGTCCGAGTTAAGTGTGGATGAGTCTGAGACAGTGATACAAGAAACCTACTCGGAAACAGACAAGGTGGGATGAAGTGAAGCACTGGGGCTGGGGGAGAATGGCGGGCATAGGGAAGAGGAACAATAGTCAGGAAAGGGAAGGAGAGTTGTTTTGTTCTAGTATGGCTGTGTCAGAATTTGAGAGGTTGAAAATAATCTGACCAGGGGGCTGGGAAGGTGGCTCAGTGGTAGAGCGCTTGCCTTGCATGCATGAGGCCCTGGGTTCGATTCCTCAGCACCACATAAGCAGAAAAAGCTGGAAGTGGCACTGTGACTCAAGTGGTAGAGCGCTAGCCTTGAGCTGAAGAGCTGAGGGACAGCGCCCAGGCCCAGAGTTCAGGCCCCACAACCAGACCCAAAAAATAAAGAAATAAAAATAAAGAAATATGATTGCCAGGCACCAATGGCTCACACCTGTAATCCTAGCTACTCAGGAGGCTGAGATCTGAGGATCACAGTTCAAATCCAGCCCAGGCAGAAAAGTCCATGAGACTCTTATCTCTAATAAACCACCAAAAAACCATTCATGAAGCGTAGACTCAAGTAGTAAAGCACTAGCTATGAGAACAAAAAAAAAAAGCTCAGGGACTGAGTGCTCAAACCCTGAGTTCAAGCTGCAGGACTGGTGTTGGGGTCATGGAAAGCTAGTTAGTAAAGGACAGATGTGTAAATAAATATGGAAATGCAGTAAGGGTCTAAGGATAGAAATGTAAGTGAGGTACAGCCGGAACACAAAGGAGGCTGGGAGGCTGGCTAATCCTCTTGGATGTGATATGGAATGATGAGTATGATAAATGTATGAGGATGTGCTAGAGATAGAAAAAGCCAAAGGAAACCAGAGGAAAAGCAGGAGCAAAGATTAAAAAAAAGAAAAGAAAAATGGGCTGGGAATGTGGCTTAGTGATAGAGTGCTTGCCTAGCATGGCTAGACACCTGGGCTTGATTCATCAGTACCACATAAACAGAAAAGGCCAGAGGTGGTGCTGTGGCTCTAGTGGTAGAGTGCTAGTCTTGAGCAGAAAAGCTCAGGGACAATACCCAGAGTTCAAGCCCAACCACTCACAGACAAAAAACAAAAAAAGGAAGAAAGAAAGAAACAAAGGAGTCAGAAAGAGCCAGAGGCCAGCTCACAAATAGCCTGCCCTGCCTAGCCCTGTCAAGGATACACTGGGAGTTAGCAAGATAAATAAAATCAAAAAGCCTGGGAGCTTGGGGCTTGGTGCCTCACAACTGCAATCCTAGCTACTCAGGAGGCTGAGATCTGAAGATGGGGTTCAAAGCCAGCCCAAACAGGAAAATCCATGAAACTCTAATCTCCAATTAACCACCAGAAAACGAAGTGATGCTGTGGCTCAAGTGGTAGAGTGCTAGTCTTGAGCTGAAGAGCTCAGGGACAGAGCTCAAGCCCAGAGTACAGGCCCCACAACCAATTTTAAAAAATTAAAAAAAATAAAATAAATGGTTGGACATCAATCTCAGGGTAGCAAAACTACAGAGCCAAAAAGTTAGGGGTTAATGTAGGCAAAAGAACACTGACTGAGAAAATAAAGATGAAAATCAGACTTAGGTAAGAATATTTTCTACTTTGCCAGGAATTCCTGATGCTAGTAAGCTAAGTCCTATTGCATTGTGAAGTGCCTTGACTGCTCCAAGTTAAATCAGTTAGCGGGGCTGGGAAGGTGGCTCAGTGGTAGAGCACTTGCCTTGCACCACATAAGCAAAAAGAAAAAAGCCGGAAGTGGCGCTGTGGCTCAAGTGGTAGAGCGCTAGCCTTGAGCTGAAGAGCTGAGGGACAGCGCCCAGGCCCAGAGTTCAGGCCCCACGACCGGACCCCCCCCCCCAAAAAAAAAAACAAAAAAACAAAAAAAAGAGTTAAATCAGTTGGCAACTTTAATCCATCTGATTGTGTGTATTTCAGAATGACAAGTCAAGATATAAAATGAGTGGCAGTAATCTTCCAGAAATCACCAGAAGTGGAACCCAGAGCTTCACCAAGACCCAGGAGCCAATAGAAGAGGAGTTTGAAATGGATTTGGAGCCCATCCTGGATTCAGATCAGAATGGGCTGGAAATCACTTTAGACATGGATCAAGAGGTTGAATCAGAACTCGCACCTGAATCAGAGCTGGAGGCTGAAATAGAATTTGACACCCAGCCCGAGATCGAGCCTGAGCTAGAGCCCGAGCATGAGCCTGAGCTTGGGCCCAAGGACATATATCTGGACTTGATAAGAGAGAGGAGGCCTGACCCCAAAACCAAACCAAGGTCTCCCGGTCAGTGGCAGAAACTGCCTGAATATCAGCCTGTGATTCCCAGATCCTCTTCTCAGTTGCAGCCTCGGACACAACCTGTGGACAGGAAACGGCAAAATACAGGCTTCTACTCATGAGAGAGCACTGACAGTGAGGATGCCTGGGAGGTGAACTGGGAATAAGGGCTCAGAAAACCTCGGCAAGTCCTTCCCCATCCAGAAAGGGCCACTTGTCGGGAGACCTAGACTGGTTGGGCCCGGCCATGCTCACTCTGTGACTCCACTTGCCAACTTCACATTACTAAATGACAGCAGTCATCGCTAGATTCCCTACCTCATTACACCTCCTGCACATAGTACTGTGAATTTCCTTCTGCATACATCCCACGGCGGTGCTTTGGTGCCAGACCATCTCTGCCTTACTTGTAATTTTCATTCTTGTCCCTTTTTTTTTTTCCCAGAGATGAGGCTCAAATAAAATATACAAGTCTGCTTTTTTTTTTCTTTTTTGATCCTTCCTGCCCCCCTCTCCCTTCTCTGTGTCCCCAAAGGAATGTCAAATGGATACGGTGGACCAAGATGATAAAGGAAAAGAAAATGTGGCATCAGGTGCTCACATCTGTAACCCTACTCATGAGACTGAGATCTGAGGATCACAGTTCAAAGCCAGCCCTGGCCTGAAACTCTTATCTCCAATTAATCACTAGAAAACAAGAAGTGGTTCAAAGTGATAGAGCACTAGCCTTGAGTGAAAAAGCTCTAAGACAGGGCCCAGGCCCTAAGTTTAAGCCCCACAACTGACAAAAAAAAAAAAAAAGTAACATTTGGAGTTTATAAGATAGTTTTACTGTACCAATTGCTTACCTATTTTAAAGGTAGCCAGCCTAGAGGCTTGCAGGGACATGCTAAGTAGAACACACTTGCTCTGTTTTGCCCTGAGATCAACATCTTATTATGCCCCTGCATTCATAGACCTGCTACAGATACCAGCTGAGGAAAATGTCATTTTAGAATGCAGCTCCTTCTGACCTTCAGATTCATACATGTCTACCACTATTTGTCTTTTTGTGTGTGTGTGTGTGTGTGTGTGTGTGTGTGTGTGTGTGTGAGGCTGGGCTCTGGTGACTCAAGCCTGTAATCCTAGCTACTCAGGAGGCTGGGATCTGAGGATCGAGGTTCAAAGCCAGCAAGGGCAGGAAAGTCTGTGAGATTCTTATCTCCAATTAACCACCAGAAAACTAGAAGTGGCTATGTGGTAGAGCTCTGGCCTTAAGCTGAAGAGCATAGGGACAGCACCCAGGCCCCAAAGTTCAAGCTCCATGACTGACAAAAACAAAAGAACATAGCAAGAGGATTTTTTTTTTTTGCCAGTCCTGGGTCTTGAACTCAGGCCTGGGCATTGTCTCTGAGCTTTTTGCTCAAAGCTAGGACTCTACCACTTGAGCCAAGGCATCATTTCCCCAACTTTTTCTTTTTACGTGATATTGAGGAATCAAACCCAGGGCTTCATGCATGCTAGGCAAACACTCTACCACTGAGCCATATTCTCAGCCCATGAGAAAATTCTTAAAAGCATTTAGAGATAAAAATGAGCATTACAAGCAGAACAAAGAAAATAATAGCACATTTCTCATTAGAGACCAGGAAAGGATCTGTCACATCCATGCCAGGAGACTGCGCAGAGGTAGACAGGCACGGGAGAAAGATTATTGCAAGGTTTATTAGAGGAGCCATATTTCCCCTGGAAAGAGAGCACATGGCAGCCTCCGCTATAGGTAGCAGCAGGGTCTGGGGGTTAGGAAGTGAGGTAGATGGGAGTTCAGGTGGGCCTGGGTGGAGAGAGGGAGAGGCCAGCTGTATGGCAGGAACTCAAGGGGAGGGAAGAGCACAGGTCTGGGTGGAGCTGAGGACCAAAGGTGAGCAAAATGCTTACAGACCATACAAACTATGAGACAATGGAATAACTTTTCCAAAGCCAGCCCTGGCAGGAAAACCTTTAAGATTCTTATCTCCAATTAAACACCAGAAAACCAGAAGTGGCTTCTGTCTAGTCTGGCATTGAACCTGGATGCTCAGATCTCAGCCTCCTGAGTAGCTAGGATTACAGGCATGAGCCACCAGCACAGGCGTGACCCACCAAAACCCAACTTAATTGATAGTTTTTAGCAATTTGCTTACAATGTGCTTTAGTGTAGTTTTCTTTTTTTTGTTGTTGTTGTTGGTC